ATCGGAGAAAATTTTTGAGGGACTGTCTCCTGTGAGAGGGGGACCACGATGGAGCATGGGGAACAAGTTCCAGAAGTTCCCCCCACTGAAAATAGAAGAAGTGGCAGCACTGACTGCACCCCCCATTCCCTGCCCCTGCGCTGCTGGGGGAGGAGGTAGAGATATCGGGAGCAGAGCTGAGCCCGGGAAGAAGGGAGGGATGTGGGGAAGGTGTTCTCAAGATGTGGCAATGCTTCTCACTGTCCTACTCTGTTAAGTGTTGTTGTTAGTGTCTGTAATAAATGTATGTTCTTTTTTTCCTCCCCTAACAAGTCTGCCTTTTGCCCACGATCATAATGGGTGATCTGCCCCTCCCAGTCCTATCTCAAATCCCAAGCCTGGCTCATCTGTCCCTTCTCATCACTGGGTGAGACAGGATGTGTGCGCGGCTGCATGGTGCTCAGTTGCCTTCTGAGCTCAAACCACAACAGCAACCTTGGCTAAATCCTATAGAAAAATCTCACCCTGACCTCCAGAAGAGAACTTGTTGTATATAGAAAAAAGAAGCAAGAAAGAGAAGGCTGTAGAGAATTTTAACTGAGGAAGGAGGATTTACATATTTTATCAGCATCCTTTCAGGTCTTAATTTTATCAGGGAAAATGTTAATTGAGCTAGTTAGTACCTGTGAAGTGAAAATTCAACCCAGCTATGTCTTCTTTGTGTAAATCTTCATCTGCATACTCATGTTGTCTCCTTTCCATATTCTTTGTTGCACAGACCTCCCAGTTCTTGGCTGCATCATGCTTGAAATACCCACAGTGGCAGAAGCTACATTACGTCAACCCACCTGTAAAAACATACAAGAAGAGCATTCATTTTTTGCCTAATTAACTAAAAAAAGGATTGACTAAAAGGAATATTTCACTCTCAAATTTTAAAAATACCATTCACAAAGCCCAAGTAGATATTCTGAGAGGAACAACTGCAATTACAGCAGCCAAGTAATAAGCACAAGCAATTAATACAGTCTTTAAGTATTTTAAATATAATAGTTATGGCCTGCTGATAAGAAAGTTTTGGGGTTTTTTTTTAATCAGAAGTTTGGAATAAAGCTATTTTACTATATAAAAATGATTAGAGGACTTCAGTGGGTGTGTTATCTTTAACATGTCCCTTCTTCTGGAATCATTAAACCGTTACAAATTTCCCAGGGGGAAAAAAAAAAAAAAAAAAAAAAAAAAAAAAAAAAAAAAAAAAGGAAAAATCCATTCACCAAGCTTCTAAGAAACACAAGAAACACAACTTCTAAAAAAGAATAGGGAACACACATCTGAATATTTTCTTTTGAACTTAATTCAAACATACATAGTGGCCTGTTACCTGGTTTGTGCCACAGCTACTTGCAAGGTAAATGGAAAATGTTTTGATACAGTAAAATTTATCTCCTCCTAGTGCTGATATAAACAATGACACAAGGTGTCATGACGTCAAACATCAGGCCTAAATGTTTTTAAAAATCAAGCAGTGTGAAGGAACTCTCTAATTTCCTTCCAGATAGCCATAAGCATCTGTTCTGCCCTTTATCTTCTTGCTGTGACACTCTGAAAAGCTGCAGTCTCTTAGCCAGGCCAACACAACTGATGGTCTCCACCCTGGTGTGGTCAGGAGCTGTGTCAAAAGTCAGCACATATTCAGGTGTGAAACAGAGAAATCCAGAATGGACGGCACAGACCTGCTTCCCAGAGAGTTAAAGCACTATGTTGCTCTCCCACTGCCTGCCTTCTCCAGTAAAGCGAAAACATGAAACCAACTTTCTCGATGCTCATTCACTGCTTTGTAGGGCACCTGAACATGGCTCTGGTTCAAGCATGTCCTCAGGCCCTGGGTACAGAACACTAATGTGACTCTTACCACTGGTAACCACATTGATGACACCAGTTCTTGTAAGTATTCTCATCATTGCCACACAATAAATATTTATATACAGTACAGATTGTTTTCATGAGATGATGAATGCAAAGTGGCTAGGAAAAACAGGGAAGAAAAGACCAAGTTTGATAAACTGTTATTCAGATTTTCATATGGAACAGCTGAAAGAATGGAAACCAGAGGATATTTACATGTTCTGGCCTATTGGGAACATACCAAGAGGCTGCATTACATTCAGGAATGTTGCCATGTGTGCAAACCAGGAAACGACTAGTTGCTTACTCACCCAGCAGCAGGAGAGAGGAAGGGCAGCACTCAGCATGAGAGACTTGTGAAAAGGTAACAGTGTATTACACTAAACAAGCTCTCAGCACAGCTTTCTCAAGCCTACCAGTGGCACTGTACTATGTAATGGAAACCCTACTGCCACTGAAAATGAATGTTACACCCTCCTGTGGTTTTGAAAAATGGCCTTCTGAGGAAGGAATTTAAACCGAGGGATTTAGAGATAAATTGAAGGAAATTTCCTTGTTTTACCCTTCATGCAACAGGAAACTGAAGACTGTGATTCACAAATGGGAACATCCCCGCTAGCAAAGGAACAGGTCCTGTGCTTTCTTCTTCCAAAACTGTGAGTCACTTTCTCTGTGTTTAAGCAAACATCACATACGAAGTTTAAGCTGTTCTTCAAAGCATTAAGGTACAGACGGTTACCTTTGTTTATCACCACCTCCACTTAGAGCACAAAGGAAATAAAAATTTCTATACAGTGCTTGCCCACATTCACAAGTCATACATAGATCAGATTAAAAGTGTTTCTCTGTTCCAATGGAAAATGAAAATACATGAAAATGTTGCATGAAGAGAGCACAACACATAAATGCACAAACACACACAAATCACCTTCTTGCATTTTGCCTCCATGGAGCTTTGGCCTTCATTGGTAACAAGTTTTTAATAAACCATTTCAGCTCAGGCAGCTCTGGCAGTCACAGCTACATAAATTGAAAATTTCATCTGATTCACCACTTCAGTACTCAAAACTTCTCATCAAAAAGGATTTGTAACAGATACTATCCACTATTATTTCTTCTACAAGATCAACACTGTCATTCCCAGATGTCCAATGCCATCTGTGAGCTGTGAAATTTATGTCAATGAAGCACAGCTCCCATTCACTGTTCTGTGTGTTGGTAGACCTGTGAGTGGCAGGCAAGACTTTGAGCTATAATCCTTTAGCTTCACCACTGGCTCTGCCACACCCACGTAGAAGGGATACACCCCTGGACTTCTAGAACATGAATGCAAAAATACCAGGGGGTATGGTGAATTCAACTTCCAGGCAAAAATGCAGAGCTGAAAGCATAGCCTTTTCGATGAATTTTATCTCAGCCACTTCCTTAGATGCACTCATAGGCAGTTTTCTCAAATTTACTTGCTGTATAAAATAATTTGCTAAATTGTTTCAGGAACACATTTCAGGCCTCCATTGAGTTCCAGTGCAGTTTGTTGTATATTTTAGCTCTGCACTTTGCTGAACTATTTTGCTCGAATAAGAACACCATGTTCACCTTTCTATTCCCTGACTCACAAAGAAATATCAAATCAAAGCTTCTTCTTAACTAGCAAGAACAAAACCTGGTTTTTATGACTACTAAATTAAAATCCTGGCTTCTGTGATCATTCCTGATGAGAAAGCAAACACTGGCAAAGTTCAAACAATAAAATAAAAGCTTTTTAAATTGTGAAGGAATATTCTAGCACAAGAGGGCTACGAACAACATTACTTCATCCATATAATAAACAATTTCAGTTGCCATCCCGTTCCCTGCCTTCGTCTGAAATACAACTGTGAAATAGAATACAGTACAATTAATACAATATGTGAAAAAAAAAAATAATCTTAAACCAGCAATAACTCCATCAGTAATCACACTTCACGTGAGCTTCTGCTGTAGAAATGAGAATTAATCATGCCATATTGCAAAAACACTTTAGCATGTATCATGCTCAGTTCTTCTGATACAAAAAATGTAATCTAATACCACTTGCAAATAAGCATATAACATATAAGCAGTGCTGACGCTTCATTTTTTCCACACTGGTATGTTAATGTGTTCGTTAAAACTGCTTTTTCTATCTCATTCTAATTTAGACAATCTTTCTTCCTGGGCTTTTAAAGAGAAAAATTGTCCATAACTGTGAGAAAAGCATGAAAGCTCCACAGGCACAAATTCATCATTTCTCTCTTCACCTTAATTCCATGCGGAAGCCCTAAAAATCAATTACACGGAGTGGAAGAAGGAATGTGCTGCCCCTGTTAAGAGGAATCATGAAAGATGTTGCCTTGCTAATTTAGGTAGTCTTCCATAAACCACCCTTTGCTAGGAGCTGCTTTGTTTCTCACAGGTAAAACACTAGATGCACTGATGCCAGTGGAAATTTTATCTTTACATTTGTGTTGGCCAGTAATTCCTCACAGGTATACGGTCTCAGCCATCACGGAATTCCACCCCTAGGTAATCGTGCAGCAGTAAGAACTGCGTAGCTGGGCACACAGCTGTAACGGTGTGACAGCGCTGGCACAAAGCTTGGATTTACTCGAAAGCGAACTGCAGAAAAAAGCCACAGGCCTTCCTTCCGGAGGACTGCGGGTGGAGGATGCGTACCCGTACAATCTGAAATCTGATCCTGCAAGTGCTGGAGGGCAGGTGAGGGCAACCTGTGGGGAACAAAGCCTCCCAGGTTCCCCCACGCCATCGGGGTACTTTTTTGCTGTATTCAGGCTCTCAGACGAGCATGTCCCCTAAGCCGTGCGCTCACCTTCCATTCACCCACCCACGCCACTCCGGCGGCGTACACCCCACGAACTAAGCACCCTCCCCCGCGGCCCCGTGCGCTTGCTGCCGACGCACGCAACAGGGCGGGCGGGCGGGCGGGCGGGCCGCCCTCCCAACGGCCGCCCAACGGCCGCCCCTCCCCTCGGCCGCCCGCCCTCCCACGACGGAGAGCTGCGTTTGCCTTCCGCCCGCCCGCCCGGCCGCTCGCCATGCTGCCGCCGCCGCCGCTCCACCGGCCGCTCGCCGCCGCCGCCCGCCTGGCCCGGGGCTGGGCCCGCCCTCAGGTAACGGCTGGGGCGCTGAGGGGGCGGGGGAGGGGATGGCGTGGCGTGGCGCGGCGTGGGTGAGGGGCTCGGTGCCGGCGTGGGCGTGTGGGGGTGGGTTGGGCTCGGCGGGGGCGGGGCTTGGGCTAGGCCGGGCGGTGACCGGCGGTACCGCCCGTGGTTCCCGCCGGGGCAGGGGCTGTCGTTGTCGCGACATCCTCTTTAACGGGCCTGTCTGCGACAGCGAGCCGTGCTGAGCGTCGGCCCCGCGTCTTCTCTAGGGTCGTGTGACGTTCTCCGGAAGGGAGAAGTGGCCCAGCAGCAGTCCAGTGGTTGCTTGAGTGGCAGAAAGCGTCTGGGCGTTCTTTTCCTGCGGGAGTTCGGCTCTGGATGGGTCACCGCGCGGGGTTACAGTTCGTTCGGGATCCTGGGGGGAGGTGGAAACCGTGAAGGCTAAAAGAATCTGTGGCACGTGGCAACCAAAACTAGAAGTGTAATACTGCAAAGGGTCATTAGGAAACAAGACCTTTGGTCTTGGCCATCTGTATTTCGTGGGTTGAGCTGTACGGTGCACCTGCCTGCTCATGACATGTGTCCAAAATCCATCCTGCAGCCACCTCTGCAAATACCGGCTAAGGCCAAAGATCTGGTTTGCCCTTAATTTTTCTAGTTTTATTTCAGAGGCAAGTAGCATGTTCCAGGTTATTGAGGCAGTTGCAAAAGTAAGCATGTTCTGGGACTTCTGAAGAGTTTTATGTATATAAATAGCCTTTGGGAAGCAGCCAGTGAAGGGCAAGGATGCAGACTTTAGCAATCTCGTGCTGGAAGTGATTGGTCCTTTCCCAAGTGTTGGTATCTTTTTCTTTCTTTTGCAAACAATATGTAATTTGCTAATACCGATGTAAGATTGTAATTAGAAAACATGACAGTAGTGTGAGTTGATTGGGTAAGGGCAACATAATGCAGGCAGATGTTGATATTGCCTCTGCTTTGGTGGCTTCGGCAGTCTTGCCTTTGAATAAGGTGTTTAGCCAGCTCTCTTTTTATTGCTTTGACTTTTCGCATCCTGCTGCTGTCTTCCCGAGGAAGGGGTATGAGAAAAGGAAAATCCTGCCTCGTTATGAGCTAATAATTAAACAGTTGAGTGCGACAAATAAAAGACACGTTACAGTCTGTTGCACTACTGAAAGGAGCTGCAGCAAATAATGCGCATGGGAACTGTTTTGAAAGAAAAAAGTCATACGATATTTTTGTAGTGGAGATCACGAAGTGCCCCATCTGCCAGCCCCCAGTAAAAAAAATCCATCTATAGCATCTCACTATTTTTAAAATAGTCTAGAACTTAGATAGAAGGTGGTTTTCTGGCTTGAGAATTAGTCTTAGTTACTTTTCTTAATGTTTTCTCTCAGGTACTCTCATTCCTTGCTACAGGGCCCAGACAAAATAATAGCATTTTCTATGAAATTCGCACATATGATATTAAGCCATCAAAGATGAAGGAATTTGTGGAAATGGTCAACAAGTACTTTCACCTTCGCACAGCTCACTCAGAGCTGGTGGGATTCTGGTCTGCGGAGCTGGGAGCGATGAATAAGGTGGTCCACATTTGGAAGTACGGTATGAACAGCATCCCTTTGTGCTGCTCTGCTCTCTCTGTGCTCCCTGTCTCCTGCAAGGAGAATGCTTACCTGGCTTTTATTTGTTGCTCTTATTGTAAGAAAGTGTCCCGACGAAATCTGTTACTATGCTGATTACTGAAGAGAACACATCAGCACAATTTTGACATCTTGGGATGAGCGAGTTACAACTGTTCTTAAACAGCTATCTCTGCTCAAAACAGGTATAATAGAGAAACTGCAGCCAAGTGCTTTGTTCATGGCAAATATTTTTAATTTGGGGCCAGTTCCTGAACCACAGATGTCTTCAGAATTTCAAAATGGATGGAAAAACTGTTGAGACCTCCTTAGTAAGATAATACATATAAGTGCAGACAATCTATATGCAGTCTGTGTATGTTTATACACATGTGTAATTATTATCAAATTTTAGTTCAGTGTAACAGTCACTGCCCTAAAACAATGAGAATGCAGTTTGCTTGCCTAACTCCTTCTGTAGCTGGGCTGGGTTGGGGTGGGAAGCCACTCCACCAGCTCTGAATTCCCAAGTGCGTGAAGCATTTCTTTGCTCCTTCAGCCTTGGGTAGCAACAGGCTTCTTGCTGTATAATCAACTTTTTATATTGTTGGAGTAGGTGCTGACCTGGAAGGTGCCAGTGAGCCAAGAAAAGCTACGCTTATGCAAGAAACTAGATGTGCTGGCTGTGCTCTATGTGGAGCCCCAGAAAACTTGGGTTATGGAGAGGTGGGAAGGCACACCGGTGTAATTTCTTTGTACACCTCTGCAGTCCAGGGTATATCTGTATGCTGAGGTGGGGAATTTTGTTTCTGAAGTCCTCAGTTTGCTGGTTGAAATCTCTCATGTTCACAGTATCTGTTTAGAATAAAGAGTCACCCCTTTTGTCTTGGTGGGGTACGGGGACCAGCCGTCTGTTGATGGGATTATTATGAGTTTACGTGCATATATCAATAAATTGTCCTGCTTCTCAGAGCTTTTCAGCCTTGTCTATTGTTTCTTTATCTAACACCTCCCTCCCCCATTTTTAATAATCTGCAGGAAACTTTTTAAAATGCAAAACTAAGGAAAAAAGCTATAATCTTTATTTGTGTCCTAATGGTGTTTACATGTGTAAGGTAAAACATCCTTTCTCCTTGATTCATCAGACACCTCCTTATGTCTTTTTCATAGTTAAAAATAGTTGGTGTGGTTTTCTCTTAGTCCCAAGATACTGATATTTCTCAAGGTTCTTCCCATTCTCAGATGCAGGATTTTTTTCTTGTATTATTTAAAGCTGCCTGCATAAACATACTGCTTAAGATGCCACTTCAGCCTAACTGGTTGAAAATCAGACATGCCTAATTCAGTGCATTTGTTTTTAATTAAGGAAAAAAAAAGAAGAAAAGGTTTAGAATTTGGGCATTTAATAACTTTTTGTATAGCTGAACAGACATACATTACTTCTACACTTGTAATTTTAATGTAATTTTATATAAGCCAAAACTCATATTTTTCTTAATTTTCTCTTGGTAGAATAATATTCCTTCTGATTTTTTTTTTTCCACTTTACCTCCTTATCCACTCTACTTTGTCCAAATCTCCTTATCCTTGGTAACTGTTGCCACATCCAGTAGTCCCTGTGGATGCCATATATGAATCTTAAGAGTAACATCATGTAATGATTTTAACTTTTTTTATAAATTTTCTCGGAAAATTTGGTTTGGCTTCAAACCATTTAAATCTGAGAGCTAAAGCAAAGATTTCTGCAGAATCTAAAGGAAAGTTACCACATCTGCTTTGAGCTAATATGCTGCTTAAAAATACTAATTTCAAACTTATGTAAGTGTAACTTGCCTCCTAGTAATTACACACTTTGATTGAGTCTGATGTGACATTAAGTGCATTTTGAAATGTTTTCTTTTTTCTTATTTTTTCCTTTGGTACAGATAATTTTGCCCACAGAACAGCAGTCCGGCATGCACTAGCCAATGACAAAGAATGGCAGGGAAAATTCATCTCCCCAGCTCTCCCCTTGATAGAAAAGCAGCACAATGAGGTTGCTTATCTGGTACCTTGGTGTCAACTTGGGAAGCCTCCAAAAGAGGGGGGTGAGCTTATCTTCTCTTTTGCTGATTAAAGTTACTGATGCTGATGGAATAACAAAAAATGGCTTAAAGTTTAAACCAGGTATTACATGGTTTATAACCCTTTATGTAACAAGTGCATGTATGTACACTCATGTGAAGAAGTGACCTAACACAGATGAGGGACAAAGTTTTTTAAGAAAGATTTTACACTAGCTTATATTAATAACTGACTAGAGCCCTGACCATTAAGGTTGTAAAAGAGGTATGTGAATTGCCTATATGAACATGCAAAATGGCAACACTGTGGTAGTGGTCAGAGCAGTCATCCCTGACTTGCTTTGTCCATCCATCAGTGAGAGGGCATTTCCTGGAGACACTAAAGACAATCACTGTTCTCTTTCACAGAGTTTTTTCCCTTTTATCAATTGGCTATGATTAAGTGCTTCTGTTGCATAACAGTTTAAAAAAAAAAAAAAACAAAACCAAAAAATCCCTACTTTTTAAAGATACATGCAACTCAAGTGTACTTTATAACAATCATAGATTAGCTGTAGACATCCTGTCTTTATGTATTTTAATTCTCTCTGTAGCACACATGGTATCAGTAGTATTGACTGTTCCTTGATGTATGAACATTTGCAGACTTTGTTGCATGGAGTGATATCAGACAGGCCTTGCTTTAGCCCTCAGCACATCCATACATAAAATAATCTTTGTTCTTTATTTCCCTGTGATTCTGCATTTTATGCTGTTAGAATTGAATTTGAAAGCAGTGCAGTTTTCTCTTAAAACTGGAAAGCTGACTTGAAACATTTCGCTCCCATCTGAGTTTGTCTCCAGCCCATTTCTGGAGAATGAGACCAGACATATATTGCTACATGGCAGGTGTCTAGGTTTCTATTAAAGTGTCAACATTTGTGATCTAGAGTAACTATCTGAATGGAAAGGAGATGGATAACATGGCTTGTAGCAGGACTGGAGCTTTTTGGCAAATCATGCCATTTGTCTACAAACAAGGGAGATGATGATTGTTTAGCAGAACAGAGGTGCTAAGGTAGACCATCTGTTGGTTACACCTTCAGATCTTGCTGTGATCAAGTGCCAGGAGTCAAAGGGATTTGTGATGTCATAGACCACTTCAGTGACAGAAAACGCCACCAGTATTAGAGAAGGCCACCTTTCATTGTTCAGTCAGCCATCCACATCCCACAAATGTGTATGAGTATTTGTGATTTCTGCAAAGTAGTCTGAATCTCCCCAGATTACCAGGCCACACTGAAAATTGCCAAATTGAGCTTTACGTGAAGCCTTCTGTTCCTCAGGGTCCCAGTACTTATAGTTATGCTTGAAATAGCTCCAGGTAGTGAGCCACTTAGCTGTGCTTTTGCGAGCCCCTAGAAGCTGTGAGATGTTGTGCAGGTTGGGCTGAAGGGGCAGTTTCATGTCATGCTGACCCCAGATGGCAGGGATTTGCAGTACTGGTTTCACGATAAATACATGATGGTCATGGCATGCTGTTTGAGAACTGGCATGTTAATTTGTATGTCCTTCCTTGAGATCACCTTTGCCTTTTCTTCCAGGAGTGTATGAATGGGTTACTTTCCAGATGAAGCCTGGTGGGCCAGCATTGTGGGGTGAAGCATTTCAAGCTGCAATCAGTGCTCACATCAACAGAGGATACACAAAACTGATTGGTGTTTTCCACACAGAGTATGGATTACTTAACACAGGTAGGACTCAATTTCTGATACAGACTTTGGCATGGGAAGGCGTGGAGGGAGAGGGGCAAGCCTCTGTCCTGGATCAGGATTGGCCATCTTGATGCAAACGTTGGTGTGGATCACCAAGTCCTGTAAACAGTCCTTGAACCCGGTTTTGTGTATTGGGTTATAAGCTTAAGCCAGGGGCTGCTAGCTTAAAGGATTCTCAGATCTGATGTTAAAGAGTCAACCTTTTAAAGGCTCAGCAAAGGATCATCCTACCACTTACTTGCCTGGAGAATTGTTTCTGCTAATAGCAAGGTGAAGGCAGACTGCTGGGACTTACCGCACATGTTGTATTGCAGAATAACAGTATTCAGCTGACTTTATTTGTACTTTCTCAGTCCACGTGATCTGGTGGAACGAGAGCCCAGATCACCGAGCAGCGGGAAGGCACAGTGCCCATGAAGATGCCAGAGTGGTAGCAGCTGGTAAGAGATGATGGATGCAGAGAACTCACTAGTATTACCTGCATGCATGCTGAGAAAATTATTATTTGTCATTGAATTACTGTCTTAATTAAATATGCATTTAATTTCAGTGCGGGACAGTGTCAGATTCTTAGCATCCCAGCAAAATGTGCTCCTGATACCTCTACAATGCTCGCCATTGAAGTAACCTTATTCTAAAGGATGTAATTGATGACAAAAAAGGACAAAATGGAATTGCTGTCAGCAAGTGCCATCACATGGATTGTAATACCTTCATGAACTAAGCTGTTCTTCAGTTTGCAATACATGGATGCAAAATGCTGATCACTAGCAATGTAAATCAATAAAGTTTTGCAGCCTGATAGCAGTTGCTAAATAGAAATTTATGGTGATGTTTGTATATCCCCAGGAAAAAGAAATTGTGCCATAGCACTTCTGGCATGAGCCACACTTCATTTATCTTTTATTTTAACCTCTCCATTAATACTTTTCTAGATCACTTATCAAACTTAGTAAATTAAATGCTCTTTTCCAACATTACAGCTCAGGGCTGGTATCATTTTCATAATGTATTTTGGTGACATTTGTAACTCACATCTTGGCTATTGCGTACTGGCTTAAGAAGGAATGCCCTCATGTATCTGTTACCTAGTTATGCTTTAATCAGACTTCTAATTGGAATTCTTTCTATTAATTCTGAGTAACGTAAAACAGCAATGTGGCTAGAATTGTACCTAGGAGGTGCTGCAGTGAAGCTGGTCGGGTGCTTTGTCCCAATGAGCTCTGCCACAAGATGAGCATTTATTCACTAGCTTGTTAGAGTTCACTTCAGCCCTTTCCTATTTTGTTCAGTAAACCGTTCCTCAAGACTTTGGATTACACACATAATGCTTTGCCTTATGTATTTTAATACTTGTTTAAGGTCTGAAGTCAATTAGCCCTTCTTCTTCTATGGTGTAGTCATGCTCAGCTGATCTTTATGTGCTTATATTCTTTGAAATACTTTTTGCCAGACTGTTAAAAGCCAAATAAATTTGTATAAAGCATGACTTTTGAATGTTTACAGCTCAACTTCTTACTCTTCAAACTAAAATGATAAACCGCATTCTCCAAGTACAGCATTTTGCAGGTCTTGCATTTCAGTCAGCAGCAGTCTTCATAATAGTTGCATTAGAGATGGCAAGCTAGAATGAATAGCAGCAGGGCAGAGGGCACACAGACTGAGAAGTCAAACTTGTATTTTGTGTACAGTGGTATGGAGCACCCACTTCTGCAATTTAAGGGTCACCAACTGGCAGAGCATTCAGGAGACTTTTCCATGGCTTAATCACTGACCTGCAATAAGCAATTGATTTCACTTCTCTAATGAAGTATCTTTGTGAAGTCTGCCTAATGACAATTACAGCTTCTGTAAAGTGCATTATGATCTCATGGAAAGCACTAAAAGAAACAGCTGTAGGCAGTTATGCTTATGTCCAAGGTGGGTGGAACTACAGCTGCTGTAGTTAGGGGAGTATAATGGGTCCCAGCTCCTATACCCAAGTCTTCATACTCTCCTCCCTCCAGCAAAGGTGTCTTTAGAATTCTCAGGCTAGAACAACTACTTTGGAGACCACTGTCTTCCGTTTTACAAACCAACTTCCTAAGGTATAAATGGCTGATAAACCATCACTACCAAGTTGATTCAGAATATTGCCTTAGGGCAGTTAACTGAAGGGAGGACTTTTTTTTAATAATAAAAACATGGGCTGAAAAATGGGACTGGAAATCAGTAGGACTTTTTTTTTTTTCCCCAACATGAATGCAAAAATTAAGTAATTTTATTGTTTACTGGAATAAAAAATAGAGAGGCATACTAAAAACAGTATTATATTTTCAGTAAAACTATTTTCCTTGTCACCAGCATTTAGAGTAAAGAATATTCAGAATGTTAGAGGCGTGCTTTATTCCAAAGTTTGTTGTTTTCTGACAAGAGGTTGATAAATCAAACACATTACCCAAAGCACCAGCTGGGCACTAGGTTAAAATAGAAAACCCAGGAAATTTTATTTGGCTTCATATCTCAGATGAATTTTCCTGATGAGTGGAAACTTGGATTGGATTGTATTATTTGCCTGCTACTGCCCCTAGTGCCACTATCAAAATTTTAACATTAGTTTTCCTTTGAGCAATAGAACCATTATTCTGCTTTCATTTGTAAACTGCTGTTCTAAAATCAACCTCGTATTAACTTGAGTGATTTTCACAAATTGTTTGTAAAGAGGATGCCTCGAATAACTCAGGTGGGATGCCCTGGAGGGGAGAAGAAGAGCAAGCTCTGTGTCGGTGGGTCAACCTGCTGTTGTTGCCCAGAGACAGATCTTGCCCAACTTCACCAGGGCAAACCAAAGAAAAGGAGAAGCTTCTGGAACATGCTATTGCACAGGTATGAGAAAGACTATATAAAGACAACACCCCACCTGTGTTTTTGTTAACCCACCACCTAGGGACCAAGCTCACTACGACAACACGGGATCCAAGGGTGGTGATTCCCCTTTTTCCTAACCCCTCCTTTTCTCTTTCTGCTCTCTCTCTCTCTCCTCATATATATTCAAGTATATAAGTTTTGAACAAATTGTGACAGGTTGTTCAGAAAATAGTCTCAAAGTGCCTTTATTCATTTGCTGAAGGTTAGCAATTGCTCTTGCCAAATTGTCTCCACTCACTGAAACTGTCATTTAATGAAGTTACCAGCTAAACTGTTTGTCTGAGTCATTGTCATGACTCAACCTACCCTGCGGCTCTGCTGAGCAGAGACCAGCTCTTCACCAGCACACAGGCTATCAAGAATTGAGAAGATTCACCCCCCTCGTAACCAACTGCATGGGATGAGACAGTGACTGTCCTTTAATTTGATACTAGCTAAGGATTAGCTAAATTCAGGGTATTCCGGAGTCTTTATACTCAGTGTTTTGCTTTGTCAGTGAAAACAGGTATAGGGTATTAGCAAAGAGGAGGAACAATTATCAGTAGTTGCAAATTGCCAGGTCTCTGTAATGGAAACATTCAAAGGCAGGTACCTGATTTAGGATTTACACATCCAGATAAATTTGTTATGCTCTTCAGCTGGATTTGACAGTTACACTACTCACATTTTTCAGGAGTCACTGAAGATCTTTTTATTTACTAACTTTAGAAGCTTAAAGTTGCACTTGCCTTTCAAATCTTGTACCACCTCAGTTGCCTGAAAATAGTATATACCCTATGCTAACTTGTAGATACTGGAACTTGCTTGTACAATATGCAAAGTTCAAAACAAAGCTGGGCAAAACAAGAGCTTCTAACATCACTCCTCAAAAGAACATATGCAGAAATGATACTTTGAAGATCAATGGTGCCATAACAGCTTTATTTTTTACTTAATACAAGGCAATTAGAGTGCCTTTTAATACTTCACGTAACAGTTATTAGCAAATACAAATATATATACTTTTTTTTCTTTTAATCAAAATGTCCATTTAACGATTTAATTTAGAAATTTCAGTTGTGAAATCTCTCTAGATTTTTGCAAAGTTAACAGATATTCCAGTGCAAAAATAGATCCCATTACAGATAAGCATAAAGTGCTTGGAATGAAGGACCAACTATAATTCAGGAGGGAAGGATAAGCACGAAGTGGCGGTTTAACCATGGGGAAAATACAACTCCTTACTGAAATACAAATGTACTACAAAGAGGGATGCAATATGTCAATAGTAATAATGTTTAAATAAGTTAACACCTCAGTGCAGTTTCATTATCGAGTGGTTCATATACTGTATGTGACTCTAGAGTGATTTTTCCCCAACACACACTTAGAAGAGTAAATTAGTGGCTGTGTGAACTTAGTTCATGACAAATCTTCATGTGAGGGTTGCATTATGCTGTCTGTTCAGTACAAACAAGACGGATCAGAGCTGTAAAAGAGTTTGGTTAATATCCATGTTTATTGTAACATTTTGTCACAGGTAGACTCTGTATGAGCATGACAGTCACAGGGCAATAGGAATCAAGAATCTCTTTTTGGCGGGCTAAGGAAAGAGGATTAGGATGTAACTGTTGTTTCCTGCTAAATTAATCATTTACTTGAGCAGTTACAAAGAGCAAACCACAGCCCTTTCAGGACCAAATCTAAATCCTCCCAGAACTCGTTCTAGTTCTACATGCACTACTGTGGTGCAGTGCAAAACTTAAGCCCTTCACTTAGGTGACTTAATGCTGATTTGTAATAGTGATTTTTAGCAGTGGTAAGCCTTCAGTACATGCTACTTGTTTCAATGATACCATGACATACTTTCAGTCTGTTATAAAGAACTCATGGCTGTAGCTCAGCTGTTTAGTAATTTATATGCACCTGGAAGTCTGGTGTATTCATCACCCTGTAACTCAATCCCCATAGGGTGACAATGCCATAAAGGTAATAACAAAGCAGGTTTTGAGTGAGGTATACCAATCCCCATTACACTCCTTTCTTAATCCCCTTAGCAATGCATTATACAGATTTAAAAAAAAAAAAAAAAAAAAAAAAAAAAAAAAAGTATGAAAAAGGCACTTCAGCAGAGCATGTAGTAAGCTCTTACTTTATCCCAAGACAAGACACAGCAGGGACTGGGAACTTGTAATAAATATTCAACTGTTTTAAAAATGCTGAATTGGTCAGTGTTACCAAATATATCTGGAAATACATAATCAACCTTCTTCAGGCTCATGCCAGCCTCTTCACTATTTGTTGGGTATTCACAAAAGAAAACGGTGCATGATTGATTCATGGCAAAGTAGCATCAAGAACTAGTGCAGAACCTGTACGGGTGTTTAAGGCGGAGGCATGACATACAGTAATAGCCCAGGAACTGCAACTGGGTTCAAACCACATTACTGAACCTACTTCTGAATGTAAAAGCAAGACAAGAGGGGCCCATAAGTCTACTAATGAAAGCATACTCTTCCATTACTGTTGTACAATGTGAACAAGAATTGGCTGTTCTTACTGTATAATATCCCCTCTAATATTATTCTGGCTTTGAAAAACTTAATGACTGATGTAACTGTAGCACTACTATTCTGAACTATCTTGTTCTTCAAGGGGATTTTTACTGAAGTGGTTTGTCACATATATAATAAGGGTATATTCTCCAGTTAGGGATCACCTAATGCCTGAAACTACACTGCACAACAGAAGCAGAAACTTACACATTAATCTAATGTTATACCAGTTTCCAAACAGGAAAATTTTAGGTGAACAGCTTGCAGTAATTGCAGATAGCAGCTGATTGCTAGAGTCTGGAACTTAGTCAGATCATGAATGTAGCTATCACTGAATGGATAGAATGAGAGCATAGCATTGCAGGCATAATGTAAAGAAATACTGTGGCTACAAAGATCAACTGAAAGTATTTTCAATCCCTAATTATGCTACCTACCTATTTAAAAAGTCATAAATAATACTGTTAAAAATAGTCTACATCTCATTTCTAGTTTTATCTGGCAAAGCCAGAAATGGCAACATGCTTCTGCTAAGCAATAACTTCAGATGATGGGTACCTTTCTGGTGCAAAGCAGGGGTTAAAGAGCAGATATGACATATCTGAGTGACATCTCACAATTTAAAATTTGCTCTTGGCATTAGCAGCTTGTACAACTACTGAGTTTGCTGCGCTGGTCCAAACCCTATGTCTGCTTCTCACCCACTTCCTACTACCAGGTGTTCATGCAGCTGCTGCAGTACCTCAAAGGAGCAGGAGAGTACTTAACTATGCAAGAACCTAGTCAGAGTAGGTTATTGGCTGTGATGCTGGTGGGACAATTCTGTGCATTTGCAGGGTTCACCGTTCTGCAGATCATCACTTAATGATGGACATGTATGGATAAGATGGCCTGTCTCTTGACATCCCATTTACACTTTACTGCTTTGTGGCCCTATATTTGTCACCAACTGACCTACACCAGTCTAGGAACAGCAGCTGGTCAGGTAAGTTTTCACAACCTAAGGCTACAACACTGGTGGTGATTCTTCTTGCCACTGATTCTCTTG